CATCCACAAGCAAACTTTCATCAATGTCATCTTTGCTCTCAGAAAAGGTCCTCTGGAAAAGGTCATAGATGGTCTTCTGCTTTGGATCTGGCTGAGAAATTATAACAGAGAGAATCAGCACACACATGGTCACATAAAAACAAAGTGAGCAACAATCAGAGGACACTCCCCCAAGACAGTGCCCATGTGTGTATATCTCATGTGATATAGCACATGTATATATACACACACATTTATATACAGTGGAGGCTACCATGTCTCCTTGCATGCAGCAGGTTTAGGAACTCTGTCAAGAGTCTAAGTCAAGGCATGGATGTTGGGAGCAGTTGGAGAATCAGGTCTGTGGCATTAAATGCAGAAGCTCAGCTTGCCCATTAAATGCAGCATCTTATTAAAGGCATAAGCTCAGCTTGCCCATCACCTGCCAGTGATGTACAATCTAAATGTACAAGCCAAAGACCATTTAGCCTTTCTCAGGGACCATCAATATTACTTCAGGTCAATTACCTTAGGGCAGTAATTAGTGGATTCAGCTGTATTGGAGAAATTGGTTTCTGAAAGCCCAGCTTCCCCCAGCACTTTGATTTTCTCTTGAATCATTGGCCTAGGAGAGATAAACAGATATGACTGAAAGGAAGAAAATAGGCAAGGACACTGTGTCATTTACTATGTATAGATGAAAGAAAAGACACAACGGGTATGAAGTTGGCTCTTCTACCAGAGCTTGTTAGCTCCTTAACCTGACCTGCTCTTGTTTATGATGACTGCATGGTGTCTTGGGTTATCAATTGATTTAAATAAGTATCAATACAATTTAAATAAGTAACAAGAAGAGGATTTCAGGCTATAAATATTTGGAGAACAGACACATCCAATAGGGAAACTAGTTAATTGAGGCAATATCAATGGTATGAAGCCAGAAGAAGAAGCTGCAGCTAAAGGGAGTCCCAAAAACCTGTGTGTTCAGACTCCAGGGCAAGCAAGGGTAACCCCCACCAACAGACACAGCACTTCTAAGGTACCTCCAAATGTACTACAGGAGGAAAAATCCATCACTGGCTCTAGAGGTCCCCAACTGCACCTGCAGAATGGACACTTTGAAAGAAGCAAAGGCCACAGCACAATTAATGCATTTCCCAAATAGCCCAGTCTTCTTGTTCTTTTTCTTGCCTTTATAAAGGATGCCACTGTCCTCTGAAGAGCCATATTTCCTTCCCATTAAGCATTAATGACTGCATGGACAGCATTTCACAAATAAAGGCAGAATTACTGTCATTAACCTTCCTTGAAACGTGGGTGATGCATCAGTTTCCAGATCCCTGCATTGTAGGGTTATAATTATTTGCCATCATGATGTTCTGGGAAGTGCACAAGTTCACTTAGTTCATTTGTTCCTTTAAACAAGGTAATAAAGATGTAATTTAGGACTTTAAATAAACCAGCTGGTGGATAATTTCTTCTTATCATTTGCAGGTCAGTTCCCTTGCAGCACTAAGGATTCCTCATATCCTGCCATCCCCCACATGTCAGATTCCCCAGCCCTAAGGACCAGTGTTCATAATAGCTCTCACTGCAGTCAAAAAGGCTCAGACCACAACCCTCCAGAAGTGGGTCAGTAGCAGTTCCTTATTGCATCTGAAGGACTCACTGAAAAGCAAGATAAAGCAACAGTGCAGTACTCATCCACAGCTCCTGGTCCAAGCAATCAGCAGCCAGATTGCTCCTCAGACCTGATCCACAATACACTGAACCATGTCCAGTGTTTGTTTACTTTGCTCGAAAGTACTCAGCACTTAACAGAACCACAGCACATGAATGCTCTGGACTGTATCAAAAACAATTTCTTCTCCTTATGCAGAGGCTGAAGTTTTTAGATGCATCAGTTCTCCCGTAATTTCTCTCAACAGCCCTTTCTTTGTCAGGTAAGTACTTCTATTCCTCCTGTTTGTCAACCACTTAGTTATGTCCACTGTGGCCAAGCCATGTCACCAGCTCACAGCAGCCCTGGTTGGCAGTTACTGCTCCTCCCCTCACAGGCTGTGGAAATCAGCATTAATCACCTTAGATTACATATGTAACAAACAGTGAAAACAGGTGGCAGAAGAACCTAAGTGTCCTTCTCACTTCATACCATAAGTAGTCATCTGCTGTGCCTTTGGCCACCAGG